TCTGGATCTTTCTTTCCCTTCGCCATCAAAATTCATTCCTGCTGTGTTCCCTGGGAGTCTTGTTCCCTGCAGTGCACTAAGTTCATGGCCAGCAAACTTCAAGGCTTCTTCATTCAGAAGAATAATGGGGGAATTCAGGCACCGGGGCTGGGTGAGAAGTATTTCTGGCCAAGAGTGAGTTCCTCAAAGCCCAGTGGATAGGTGGTTATCTAGCTCAGAGATCTTAAAACATTTTTATTCTAAAAAAAGAGAATCTTAATAGAGTATTTCCATCATGCAATTTTTAAGTTAATAGTAAAGTTTTTCATCGTAAATTTAAATACTTTCAAAGGTTATAATTTGGAGTATATTGTAAATGTTTCTGTTTTAACATAAAAGTTGAATTTCTTTCATAAATGTATAAAATAAAATCCAAACACCGTGCAATTGATAATCCATAATTTTATTTTTAAAAACAAACAATTCTTTAACTTGCAGAAATTTGACGTTTTCTTTCATGAACTTAAATTTTTATTCCAGTTCCCTCTAAGAATCTTATATTAATAAATACTGATTACCCTATCACATTTATCTGCAATAAAAAATGTATCTAAATTTTAAAACTTTTATCTTCTGTGACCATAAAACTGTAAGCATTAAAGAAATCTGTGTGGATGAATTAGCATTATTAGCAATTCACTACTAATTAAAACTACATGCATATATTATATTAATTATTAAACACAAAAATTGAAATTATAATGAAAATGCACCTCAATGAGACGATGAATTTTTTCGGTTAGTTCTAGTATCCGTGGATGAATGTTACTTATTGCTAAAATGAGACAGGGGTTGTCATCAATTCTATTTCTTTTGTTTGTTTGTTTTTAAGCTATGAACTGTAGGAATTGAAAGTGTTTTATTATAGCAATGTAATTCAACTCTTTGATCTCCTTCCATGTTATATGCCAAAATTCATATAATGATCTATTATAAAAAAATATTTCTAATCTCCTGTCACCTGACAACTTGATTAGGTCCTTCTGCATTTTTCTTACAAGCAACGAATTGGAAAGCACCCTGACTTGCAAAGAGATTTCTTCTCGTCATTAGAATCTAATTCACTTTCTCAATTTCCGGGAAGAAAGATCTTTGCTACGATTTACCAAATGATTGTTAATTATGCTGTAACGCTTTCACCTAGACCCACCTTTTAAAATCCCATGTCTTCAGAAATGAAAGGAAAACCAGATATATTACTAATTTCATTATACTTTTGCCAAAATAATGCTTTTGGATAAAATATTTTGATCTTATTTCTTCCCTTAACCATATTACTGTTACCTTGGAGTTGCAGATTCAGCCCATTTACGGAACATGTCCATCACAAACCTCATTGGCAGAGCCAGTCTTCACTGTTAAACCAATTAGTCAAATCAGATTCACTTTCTGTCAGAAAAAAAAACTTTGACTTCATTTTTCAATTCAAATAGCTTTTTGAGGATTATTATAAAAATCAATGAGCATTAAAAGCATATCTTGTGAAACTGATCACTAAAACCAATCAGAATGAAAATGATATAGAGCTAATATAATTTATTGCATGCTTAAATAAGTTATAAAAACAAAATGATCCATACACTTTCTCAATCAAGAAGAATGATGAAAGGCATGATGTATCTCTAGTAAAACTGTGTGAGGCTACTGAATGCTGCTGACTGACTTTGGAGAATAAGTAAGAACTAGTGTAAAAATCAGAAACACCACAAATAATAGAAAGGTTCTAGGCTGCTAAGCAGTCTAGCAGCACGTAATATTTTTTGTTGTTATGAAAAAGATATTAAACATTTTATAAGACAGAATATGATGAGAATTGACTATAATTGAAACAAATATTTCATGCTATGCTTTGATACCACAGGTTTTTGATAATTTTATTAACTAATGCACATCAAGTCTGAAAGAATCCATATGAAAAGTTTTTATTCTTGAGTTTTATCCATTTTATCGTGTAAAAATTGAGTATTTTCAAAAGGCATCCTAATTGCATTGAAAATAATCAGCATTGCAAACCTATACTGCTTTAGCTGTTCTAAATTACTTTCCTCCCAGGTAAGAAATATCCTAGGGATAAGTATGGAGAATACTGGAAAAAAATTGCTTACAATTACATGAACAAGCCATTTTGGGTAGTTGATGTCGCCTACTGATTTTCTCTTTGCTTCACTCTCTCAGGACTCTCCCTCAAGTGCAAGGCATTCTTTGACAAGAGTCAGGAGGAGAAAGAGGAAAAAGCATTAAATAAAAATTGTCATTATTTCCATCACTCCACTTTACCAGTATTATCTGAGTTCTGAAAATCCAAATGAGTCCAAACACCTCACTTCCGTATTTTCTAATCTATCAGTTTGTGTGTGTAAGAAGGGAAAGCCCAGAGCACTATGGATTTATGATTAATCATTAAAGGAACCTTTCTCTTTGTTTGCCACATCTGGGGTTTTTGTGTCATATTAAGGCAATCTGTTATATTAAGGGTTGGGATGTATGAGAGCTGTATCTTTTTTATATAAAGTGGGGAGAGGACTATTGTGACTATAGACTCATTCTCAACAGAACAATCTTAGGAACACGTCTAGTTTGCCTAGAGGATCTAGAAATGAGTTCCTTAAAACTATCCATGAGCATGTATGTACTCCCTGGAAAGACTTCACATACTCTGAGGTACACATACCCTGGCTTGAAAACCATGCATTTATCAGACCCGTATGTAGCCTAACCTAACCCAGTCCAAGATGTTATAGCCTGGGGATCTCCGTCACTGGAGGAGAGTAACCGAAAAGTTGAAAAGAGGGCCCAGAGGTGCAGAGGGAACTGCAGCAGCCCCTGTTTGGGGACCAGTAATGAGGAGCCTCTGTTTCCAGTCTGGTGTTCACAGACATGCATGTGCTCCAGCTATCAAACAAAAATTAGAAGATCCCCTGGCTCTTTGTTGGTGCAAATAAGCACATCACTATCTTCTGAAACTAGAAGTTTCATGTTGCAAACTCACAGGCCAACAGAGGGAGGCAGGTGATGTAAACGAACAAAGCAGACGGGGTCTGAGATTAGCGGTGTGAGACTGGGTAATGGAGGGGCCAGGCCTCACCAGAGATGGAGGCTGCTACTCAGCTTCCATTTTTCAAGGGAAGCCAAAAACCTGAATTTTCATGTGAAATCTTCCAATTTGTAAATGTTGGCAATTAAATCAACATTTTTATAAAACACATTGCAGGCCAAACAGAACAAGTCTACAGGTCATATCTGGTCCATGGTTGTTAGTTACCAATCTCTGTCCGCCCAAAGGCAACTGGGTGATATTTTTACCTCTAGAGAGAGAACAAAGCAGTCTTTAACTAAAGTTTGGGTCTCCCGCTCTGACTCCAGCTACTGCTCCAGTTTCTTAGCTCCAGATCCGCTTCAGCAGTTTATTAACCCTGAACAAGTCGTAGCTGATTCACACGTGGGTCCTGCAAGTTTAGAGTGAAGTGCATGGTCAATTATCTAGTATTTCAAGCTTCATGGGGACAGAGGGAGTTGTCATCATCAAACCCAAGCCATTTAGTTGGATGGACTTTTAAACATCATTTATTTCAGCTTCCCTGTTTTTACAGCTTCCATTAACATTTTCTAAATATTCCTTTCAGGTCTGATAGCACTTGTATTAGTAAATAGTATTATAGTTCCTGGATGCTCTCCTCATTTGCCTTCAGTCTCTGGAGCTTCAAGGACTGTAAAACCTTCTTCAATCAAAGAAATAGCTATAGGTCTGCTCTCATCCGTTCTCACTTCCAGCCCCTGGCCTACAATTACCCTGAGGCTTTAACTTCAGATGGTGTGCTGGTTTTCCAATGTGTCCACAAATTCTTTGATACTCCTCCCTTCAGGAGGTAGAGCTTAATTCCCTCCTTGTGAATGTGAGCTATACTTAGTGACTTGTTTCTAATGAATAGAATATGATGGATGATAGTGATTCTGAGAATAGGTCACAGGCATTATGGCTTGCTCCCAGCTCTCTCTTGAATTACTCACTGCGGGGGAAGCCAGAGGTCATAAGGACACTTAAGTGGCCCTGTGGAGAAGCCCATGCATGGGGGAACTGAGTTCTCCTGCCAAGAGCCATGTGAGCAAGCCATACTGGGAGCAGATTCTCCAGCCCTGTTTAAGCCTTCAGATGACTGCAGCCTGCTCACCTCTTGACTACAAACCCAGGACAGATCCTGTGCCATAAACACCAGCTCAACTGCTCCTGAATTCCTGACCAATGGAATCTGTGAGACAAGCAAATTTTGTTGTTCCAAGATGTCAAGTATGGCTGTAATTTGCTATGTGGCAATAGATTAACACAGAGGGGCATAAAGCAACCCAGCCTACCGTCCTCCTGGCCTGGCCTCATCACCTTTCCTGTTCCAGTTTAACCAGGGCAAGAAGACAAGATGTAACTCCTCTCAGCTGTGATGTTAGCTTATCATTTGCTAGATTCCAGGTAGCTGGCTATATATGAATTCATAATTTAAAATCCTATCTCAAATTTTTATCCACTTACAAGTGGATAAAGCCTTTTGTCTTATACATTTGTACACTTTTGTGTGTGTGTGTAAATATTCCATGAAGCAGCAAGGTCAGGTATCTTTTGAGATGGGTAAAGAATACCACAGAGTAGGTCTTTATGGCAAGGGGTAAAAAAGAATGTTTTGAGGTGTGTGGGAGTGCCCTGAAAGAGAAAAAATACAGAAATAAAAGGGTCTCGGTTTAATTCTCCTTTGTACCCAGAGGCAGCTCTGCAAATACCATCCTAATGAGCCACTGCCTAGCCCCTAATCTCATAAAACCCTCAGAAGGGAAAATGCATGAAAGGCAGAGCTGATTCTATCTCTTTTGATATTTGTCCTTGGGTCTACTTTTGGGGCTCTGAGAGCACATGAATTAACATGAACAAGTGAAAGCATTCAAAAGTAGGCCTTTCCAATGACGAGCCAAGCCAGTTACCATACAGCTTGCATATTTATTGAATACTACTAAAATAGCTAAAATACATTGGGTACTTGTTGTGAGTGCATCAGTAAAGATCACATTGCTACAAAAGCCTGCATATTCAGCAGTACACAACTGCAACTCTACGGAAATGCCACAGATGCAAAATACTGTTTTCTTGCTCTATTTACACAGCGGATATACCTATTCTAACAAAGGAGGGAGGGGGGTAAATGCACAGGAAACTCAGGCCAATGGGGGAGCGAGAAGAGAACGAAGAAGTGCAGTGCATGCGTCGGTTGATGTGTAACAGTCAGAAGCGGGACAGTTCAGAACAAAGCCTGCCCTGTCAAAGGAAGAGCTAAAAGACAGTTATATAAAAATTAAGGTGGGCTTTCAGACTGGCTAACACAACAACATTCCATGAGTGGATGGTATTGTCTGATTGTATTTTTGTTTATCCATTTCATTGGGAGCAAGGACAAAAATGTAAAATCTACACCTTGCTTATCAGAACTGCCGAAAGAGAGTGCTCTGCCTTTAAAAAAAAAAAAAAAATTTGTAAAAACATTTTTTTCCAACCTAATTTTTGGGAAAGGTCTAATTTTCATGTTCCTACTGAGATGTCAGTTTTTTAGATTTTTTTCAGAGGGCATTTGTTAAAAAAAAAAAGTTTGCCCTTTCTTCCCCAAATATTCTTTCAAATGAAAAGAACCAAAAGAGACACCTAAAAATGCCTGTCAAATTATTGCTTTTCGTTCTCTAAGTGAGGCAGGCGAGGCTATGGAAAGGAAGAGATTTGGTAAGGAAATTACAGTTTTGTGATTGCTCCCGCTACAGTGACTGCGTGTCCAGGAGTGCCAGTCCATGAGACATGGGTCTCTACCGCTCTGTGGTGGCACTCACTCAACCTACAACGCTGAAGAAGAAAGCCACACTGAAGACACAAGGAGAACAAGTCAATCCAGTCTAGAGAACAACATTCGGGGAAACAGAGTACCAACACCTTCTTAGAACATGAAAATAAAAAATAACTCCATCAGAGCTACCTTGCCAAGGAGCATGTTGAAAGTCCAAAATAGCACCATTCATCAGTGTCTCAGGTCCTGTGGCAGCATCTCGGTCACTTACCACAAGGAAACAATGAGTTTCAAACTACTTCTATACATCGAAAGAGTACATGGATAAAATATAGAGATATACAGACAATTGATGAACATAAACTACTAGGCTTGTTACATCTAAATGAAAAAAAAAAAAAAATGGGGACTCTCAGCCTCTGCAAGAAGCAGTCGGGAGCTGTGTGAGTGAAAAGGCAGAAGTGGACCGGTTGTGTGAGAGCAGAGGGGGTTTGAGTTGTGGAAGACATCGTCGTAGCAAACCAGGCCTGAAGGCCCACCTGTAAGGGTTGTAAACGTGGATTCACAGTGTGAAATTCTGAGCGTTTTCACTTGAGTCAGAATGATTAAAAACTGGTTTGATGATACCTATTTGTCCACTGTAAATTCTCTAAAGCAAGGCTCAGAGTCCCATAGTTTCTTCTTATACTTGATGATTTACACAGAAAAAAATCCCATATATGATACCATGACCTCATCAATACCCATACACCATGTGTAATACAAATGGAGGTGATTAAAAAGAGAGGAGGTAACTGATTCCCGGGGAGTGGAGCTCACTGCTGCCAAGTGGATGCAGGGAGGCAGCCTCGGTCTGGCCATCCTTCTTGCGGCTCACTTCCTTTGGGACAGGAAGTCTTCCCTGAAGAGCACACAGACAGACACACACAGAAAAGAGACACACTGAGTCACGCTCCTAAAACCATTTGAAAACTTTTGCTTCTCTCTCCTGCCTTTTATCCCTGAACTCCTGGTGTTTTGCAGAGTTTACATATTAAGCACAGTTCACCTGAATGTAAATATTAGGTCTGTCGGGGCATGAAGTAATTAAACACTAGCCGCCGTGGCTGCAGTGCCATCAAGTGCGTCCCTAATGGCTGGGCCCAGCCATGTAGGAGACAGCATTCCCCGGAGTCAGGTTCCTGAAGACAGTTTCCAGGATCCGATAGGACCCCCGACAAAAGACTGGGTGAGAGGTGTTCCTAGGAGTGCTAACACTTTTTTTAAAAAGAGTTCGGCGGCCGTGGTGGGGATACTTGTTTTCTAATACATAATAAAAATATTTAAAGCATGCCACAACTGCACAAATGTAATTTATGTACAGTTTATTCTAGAAGCAACTGGGACAGTCCCTATGCGCCTTACAGTAAGAACCAGAAGTGGGTACCAAAGGCAGGGGAATGTTTGGGAGGGAAATCATGTGGGCTGGGGGTGGGAAGGTGGCGGCTGCAGAAAAGAGGAGGCTAGTGGGAAACCAAGGCCAGAAGAGAGTGAGATTCAGCTAGATTGGACTGACTGGGGCTTTTCTAGTCTCTCCTCACGATCCTGATGAGTGAGGGTTTCGTGTTTCTGACTAGGAGAATCCAAACGCACTGTGACTGATGATCCTTTGAGTACCCACGGGGAGAAGCTCCCTATCACAACCAAACAGCAAGAGGACAGGACAATGAAGCCCATTTGCCCAAACGATGATGCAAAATAAAGGTCTTATCACAACTAGACTTTATGCCTCATTCAGAAATGAATACAGTGAACATTTGACAAGAGTCTCTTTTAGCCTAACACTTAATTACTGGAGTTGTCTTAAAAAAAATTATCCACTATGGTTTTAAAAGATCTGTTTTTTGTTTTCTTTTCCTTTTTGTTCAGGTCGCATGTTCTAACAGGATAGTTATAATAAGCCAATTTGACTGGATATAAGTACTTGGGTTAAAGTGATAATCTTGCTTTGTGATCTGCAAATTACTTTATTCGAATTTTTTAAATTCAGAAGTCAGGGACTTCCAAGCCAACTTGAAACCAAATAAATGTTTTCAGCAGCTGCCAGAGTGAACTAAATGTAACAGATAATTCAACTTTAAGAAGTCTTATTTACTGTATAGGGTTCCCATATTAAACATCTGTTATACCTAAATATGCTTTAAAAATCTCAGACTTTGAGAGCATGTGACATTGTTAGAATGTATATGAAATCCAGTCAGTACGTACTTTAATGCTCCAGTCTTAGTTTGTGATTTAGAGGTTGTTTTGGTATTATTAAATACCAACAGGACCAAACCAGAAAATTAAATTAAAATATAATTCATCATTTACACACACTTAAGGATCTAGATAAATATCCAAAAGCATTGTATCGGGCAGTTCCCTTCACTTGTGAAAATAATTTCAATCTTGAAATGTTGGCATGCAATCCCACTACTTAAAAAAAGAAATCCACTGTAATCCTGATGTCTTTAATGTCTGTTTCTCCTCCCCTATCAACCAGTTAGCATCATGGTTCAGGATATGACAAGCTTAAGTTTTGGACAAATGAAGAATTCAATGGCTGTTAACTGTCATAGGCCTAGAAAAGGGAAATCAAAAGTTCATAACACATTTCACTCAACAGCTATACTCTTTGCATGGCTGGCCTTAACACTGCCTCCTTCAGACTTACTGTGAAATGAATATATAGAACATCAGTTGGTCCTTATATAAGTCTCAGTTTTACTAATCTCTTATCTCCACAAAAAATATACAACAAAATGAAATAAAGAGCTGGGTGGGATCTGGGTAATGGGTAATTGGGAAAGAAGTCCTTTCAGGAAAAAAAATGTGAAGGAGATTATTTCAGATTTGAATTTATCATGTTTACTATTTTTTTCTCTTTCAAGGACCCAAAATGTTCACGCATGTCTTCCCTTCATTATTCATGTTTTGTGTGCCTACAATATGGATTGAGCACTCTATTGGATTTTAAGTCAACGGAGACAAAAGCAGTCCCTCCAGCCTGAGCCTAATTAACTTGCTGTATGGGAGACACCTAAATAACTGGAGGATAACAAGGCAGTGGTGGTAAACCATGCAGGGAGTTCTGCTATGAGGCACCCTGGGGAGCTCCTGGGGAGATAAAGTTCTGTGTATACTCTCTTTGGAGGCTGGAATTTACTAGATTTCAGTCCCTACCTCCTGTCCTTCATTAAAAACAAAAAAAGATATTTCTGCCCCCATTAAAGGAATTTCAAGCTTCTGCAGCAAGGGGAGGAGGTATTTTGAAGAGGAGACACAAAGATGTCTTACTCCCCACAAGTAAGGCCTTGTAAGAATTCATACACACAGTGTCATATCTTCTTCCTCTATCATCCACCATATAATGGTCCCTATAGGACTGAGGAACTTGAGTAATCCAGAAGGCTGGAGGAGGGGATGTGCTCCTAGACGTCCCTTCGCTGATGTACCTCAGGTAGGATGGCCCTCTCTGCTGATGACTGTTAGTACATGAATCCCCCAGTTACTCAATAATGTGCTTTGGGCCAAGTAAGCCAAGATTGTTTTCCATATGATTATGCAAAGACGTGCTTTTCCAGAAGGCAACAGCTAGGAAAAGGACAAATATATTATGCTTGAAATACTACTCATATATTTAGAGAGGAAAGAACTCAAAATAACAGAAGACCTGAATTCCAGGATCCACTATGCCAGCCCCCTGGAGCATACCTCAATGCAGGGAAGGCCTAGGACACAGACTGGCCTTCCAAGAGGAAAGGGAGGCACTGTTGACCTCACTGAGGAACTTGCCCAGTCTTGCCCCTCTGGTCGATGCCACCAGTGTCAAAGAGAGGACCTTTGGATGCCTCAATGGGGCAGGAACTAATGAAAAGACTATACTCTCCCCCTGCTCTTCCATAATCACATCTTCCCCTCAGCTACTCAGGGGAATTATGCCTTGAGGTGGCCCAGTAAAGAATGTCTAGACTATACGGCACCCCCGGTGGTGTGGTCCTGCTGAGGAGGTGGGGTGTGGGTGTGTTTTAAGTAAAGCTCCAGTATTTTAGCGCAGCTCCACTCCAACTCTACAAGATCAGAACAACTCTAGGTCAGGCAGGGCCCAAATCATTTGGTTCACCTACTTTGCTGCCAATGATTTCGACCTTGACCTTCAGAAATTCTCTGGAAGATTAAAAGTGATTTAGAATTGTTTTCTTCCAGTGCAAACTGCCAGTAGACATAATCTCTTTAACTAATGTCTGCCTGTTAATAAAAGATAAGAAATTGCTGAAACCATTAAGGGTAAGTAAGATAGTTTCCCAAAGTTGAAATGACAGTAGTAGCTGGGGAGTCCTCTCCATTGGTCAATTACACTTAAGAAATTTTTAAATGGAAATTTTATTTTCAATGGACTCTATTTTTTTTTTTTTAATTGCAAAATCAATAGGTCAGTGGTAAAAAGTACAGTCCTCCTTGCTTAAGGTCAAATTGATATTTACCCTAACAGGAAAGTCCAAAGGTATCTACAGTAAAAACTGGTAAATGTTTTTGTTGTTGTTGTTGCTGTTTTGAAATGCTGCTAAAATCTAAAATGTAAATTTTACAAATTTTCTTAAGGCAGAGAATTGTCACGCCTTAAGATGTCTGAACGATGAAAGCATGTTTATAGAAAATATTTTTAGGCTAAAAATTAGAAGAAAAAATATAACATCTTTTTTATATTCTTTCTGTTTTGTTTCATGGGTAATCTTATCAGATAGTCAGGTATTATTACCAGACAAAACTGTCACCATCTTATACTCTTAAGATACCTTTTAGTTAGATATCTTCATATTTGAGTTTATCCACCCAGGAATGGAACGAACAAATTAAAAACCTGTAAAAGGTACATTTGACAAATTGGTTCCATGATTCTTAAATGAAAATTTGCTTTGGACTTTGGACTTGTCAAGAAAGAAAGATACTATGAACTGTAAGAGTCACAGGACTTTAGGATATTCTTTTTCTTTTTGTAGTATATGTTATTTCCAAGGTCATAATAGTATCAGGTTAATGGATTATTATAGTAGACAATAATGAGTATTAAATTAGAAATAATTGGGTTTTGAAATTGTTTCTAAATGGAAAAAAAACAAAAACCAAAAACCAAAAAACCTTAACAAAATGTCAGCTAGAGATCTTACCTTAGGAAGCCTTCCCTCCATTTCCTTGTTTGGAAATGGTTCTTGACTGACCCAGACAGAAAGCTCTGGGTAATAAACCTAGAGAGACATAAAAGTACACACATTCAGATTAAAAACTGGATCCACTCTGAAACCACTTGGGAACAGCTTAATGAGCTCAATTTTCCTCAATGGTCACTTATTTGCCAATTGCAACTTAGAGTGCTGGGGAAGCCTGTCAGTTCTTCAGACTGTCAGTGTGCTTCTGAATGTACACTGCACTCAGGAGAGTTTTAGCTCAATGTCTTCCAAGACCAAGTCCAGCAGAGCAGAGATATCAATCAGTGCTATCTTTTAGCATGCAAAGTGGTAGCTTCATGGCTTACTGCCTGAGCAAACTAAGGCACTGGGGAGGCCTAATTTTCAAAGCAACCTGTGATAAGCATCCTTGCAAAACTCCATGTTTATGAGATAAATGTGTCATGTACCCACCAAACACTGTTAAATCCTGATTCATTTATTAGAAGGCTCAATTATGCACAAAACATATGGAGGAAAGGAAGAAGCAGCCTGCATCCTCCCCAGATCCACACGTCCGCTGACAACATACTCTGCCCAGCTGCCTGAAAGTAGCCAAGTGTCTCAGAGGGGCAGGGCAGGTGGCATCGCCATGAATGATTCAGAGAACGCTAGCTGTTGCATATGGGGGTGGGGCAGGGGTGGGACGAGGTGGAGAGAGTGAGTCCCACTGAGCAACTCTTCTTTTAATATTAAAAAGGGTTATGACCATCCTAAGAAGGTTGCTGACTAGCTGTTCTCCATCTCTGGTAAAGGCAGGAGAGGGGATAAGGACTTAAATTACAACTACAGATTTAGGTCAGCTGTAAGGAAGAACTTGGCATAAGAATTGTTAAATTACTAAAAGAACTTAGAGAGGAAAACTGTGAAATCTTCTTTAAGAAATTTAGAAACCGAATCCAACAACCATCTGTCAGGGCTAATTTACATTTGATACAGCCCTGCTTGAAGGGAGGGGAGAAAAGTAGGTAAGATTCCCTCCAGATCTGATTCTCTAGATGCTGTAAATGAGCTTCACATTTAATAAATAATATTAAGAATTACACCTCATTAATTGGTTAACAGACTTGTATGTCTTTTTTTGTTTATTTTTGAAAGCACTAGATGTGGTAGCCTAATCATCGGGCTGACTGCAATGTTTTCAATGTCCCCATCAGTCACTTTGGTCAGGGGATCTGAGGCACAAAATGTGACGGCTGTGCCTGTTTTGTGGGAGAGTCTAACAGAAACTATCTTTGCTCAACCCCAGGGACGTTTATGGCACATCCCACTGTACGAAGCAATCTTACATGCATTACCTAATTTATCCTGAAGGTAGGTTGCAAATAGGTCTTATCATTACAGAGAAGAGGAAACTGAAACTCAGAAAGGTCACATGACTTGCCCAAAGTCACACAGTGTAGGATAGGACTCAAACTCAAGCCAGGCTCCCAGGTTCTGAAGCTGGGTTCTTTCCGCCATCCTGATGCCCTCGAATTATCCCAGAATGCAAATTGCCTACCACCTCTCTTTCAAAATTACACCAGTCCACAGCCACCACACACATTTAGGTCTTAAATATTTGAGAGCTCATGCTGCAAGAACTGGGCCTGTTTTCTGACTTTGGACTGGGTCTGCTTTCTGGGCCATGCGGTTCCCCCAACCCCAAACTCCTGCCTCTTGCTCAGCTTTCCCTGCTCTGCTCAGCTCCTTCTAGGAGAACACCACCATCTACCTTGTCTGGGACAAACAGCCACCACTGACATTCCCCTGAACCAGGAATGGGTGAAAAGAACAAAATTGCAATCTTAGATACACAAGTTTTGTTTAAGGCTTAAAAGAAAGTCACAGCACACAGAATCCCACTTTGGGAAATTATAGGAGATCTCAAATTGGGACCTACTGTAAATTCACTTAAATAAATAGATAAAAGACGATGACATCTCTACATTACTGCTTTTCAAGGCATGCTTTAAGTATAATTAAAAACATGACACATATCAGCAAGAAATAATATTCTACTGTAAACCAAAAACATTGATAGAAATACATGTAGAAACATAGTAGGCACATGGATGCAATGAAAAGCAAAATCAAGTAAATGTTGTATCTGTTTTCTTATGCTTTTTTATGATATTCTACTTTAACAAAATGACACTACATTAGCATTTAACTTCTAGGTCTAAAACATGAATACTGAAGCCACCCAAGTCTGATCTGTAGGGAAAAATAGTTTACCCCTCAGAAATTATTATACTTACTGTTACAATACTTATTACAAGTTTTTTTCCAAGAACTTTCCTTTTTTTAAAGAAAAACAGGCAGCAACTGTATGCCAATGAGTATCTGCTGGCAAATCCATGACTAAGGAAACTTCCTTCCCTACTTCAAATTTGTTCTTTTGAAACATATTAATTTAGCTACAGATTGACCAAGGGCATTTCTAATTAGGCATTTTCTTGGTGTGTGAATCATAAAGTAATCAGTGTATATGTTAGGAAAAATAAATGTCACTTTGGCCTTGTGGTAAATTCATCTTGTCTCCTTCTGAGTCAGAATTTTAAGCCAAAAATGGCAGGGACATATAAGAATCTCAATTACATTCTTAACACCTGTCTGGCTGGTCTCTAAGAACTCAGTATATCCCTGGACACAGAATCTAAAGGGGAGTAGTTAAACTTTTATTTTTTGGTTTGGGGAAAAGGTGGTAGATTATTAGAAATATATGCTACCTACATTACAGCTTTGTTCATTCCTATACCTGTGGTGTTTTGAAGACTCTTAACATGAAGGGCCTAAGAGGAAAAAAATCAATGACAATCATTATTCTTACTCTCAAATAACTTAGAATACCTTTGTCCATGTGGGCATTCACCATGAGTTTGTGAAATACCCGCAGCGTGCTGCACACAGATAGACTCTGGATATCACAAGAAGAGAAATACAGTTCCTGACTCCTAGGAACTCAAATCAAGGGGCAGGGGAGGCAAACAGCAGGGGCGATAGATCCTCTAAAAGATCATTTTAAAGCATGTGCTATGGGCTGAACTGTGTTTCCCCCAAAATCCATACGTTGAAGTCCTAACCCCCAATACTTCAGAATGTAACTGTATTTGGAGATAGGGTAATAAAGAGGTAATTAAGTTAAAATGTGGTCATATGGGTGGGCCCTAATCCATTATGACTGGTGTACCTATAAGAGGAGGAAATCAGGACACATCTACACAGAGGGAAGACCATGTGAAGACACAGGGAGAAGACAGCCATCTACAAGTCAAGGTGAGAGGCCTCAGAAGAAACCAACCCTGCTGACACCTTGACCTCAGATCTCGAGACTCCAGAATTGTGAGAAAATAAATTTCTGTTGTTTAAGCCACCTAGTCTGGGGTACTCTGTTTTGACAGCCCTAGGAAACTAACACAGTGTGTTTTAAGTGCAATTTTAAAAAATGTATAGGTTATGTCAACTGTAATAGCGGTTGGAGTATCCATCAACAGATTTAACAAAACCAACATTTAGCAAGACATCCACTAGTGCTGTCAAGAGAGGAAGTAAGGGTGGCAGCGAGGGATCTCGGAGGGTATGTGATGGCTGCCAGATGCAAGCCAAGGAAGACAGAAGGCTGAGGGGTAAGGATGTAATGAACTCTGTGGGGGATGGCGCCTCCACGGCCAGATCTCGCTACAGCTCTCAGTGGCCACAATAGTAACGACACAGATGCAACCCCACAGGCCGCTTCTTACCTAGTTCAGAATATCAGAAGCTGACAATGATCCTGTGATAGAGGCTTCTGAGTGCTGATAATATGTGGGTCAGAAAAGAGGGTAAGTTGATCTATCTTTCCGGAGAGCATCTGTTCTTGCTGGACCCCAAAGCTGTTCATTCTTCTTGGTATTAGTCAACTGATGCTCCGAAAGTGGACACATGGTTTAAATTGTATCCCTTGCATTCAGGTTTCTGGATTCAAGGTTGTGTTTTTCATGAAGACCGGTTAAACTAACTTTTCCTCTCTTAAACTTCACCAAGTTCTCTCTTGGTGGTGGTGGTGTGAGCACCTCAGAAATGTAAGCACATGGGAATCCCTCACAACTGTTGTTTTATTGAACAAGTAAACCAAAGTTTGTCTCAGTCTTCACAAGAGAAGTGTGTTCTCTTAAAACTGTCTTCCATATATAAAATAAACAACTATTTGTTTTTGCTCAAGTAAAATCCTCAAACCCTCTCGAATACTGCTCTTCCAGATGTCAGGAATCAGAGAAGCAAGCTATAGCCTCAGCAATTAAGAAAACATCAGTATTTGTGAAAATACAGAGGGGATGAAATATTTTAATGTTTTAAATTGGAGAACATGCAAAGGTTTTGCTTGAATTCGGGGGAAGGTTGAGTGTTTATGCTCATTGAATATGTTAGTCAATGCATCTTTTTTTATAATGCCACATTTATCTCATTGATGACTATGTTTAGAAACAACAGAACATGAAGAATCATGTTGGTTTAAATACACTAATCATGATAGATATGTATTTAGATATCCATGAGCAATTCTTAGTTAAAACCAATATTTTTTGCTTTCAAGTATACTTAATATATTTTAACCCACTAATATAGTTTTATGGAGAAAAGGTACTATTTCTTCCTGATTCCCTTAAATGTATTTGATGGTTGGGCATTTAAGTTTCAATTGTCTATCACTGCATACAAGTTTAGAAGAAAATGCTCATGGTTTTTGCCTTTTGTAATCTTTATTTCCTTCTTTCTTTCCAGGCTTGTTCTATTCTCAGGGCAATGCATAGTGAAAAATAACTTCATTTTTTAAAGTCTATAAGACAATTAGCTTGCAATGATTATTGCCAAATTAGAATTTGTCCAAATTAGAAAAATAAAATGTGGAGGAATCAGAGACCACTCAGGCAAGGTACTCCGGCCCCTCAAAATGCCAACTAGATTATCATTCAAATTATTTTTTCTAACCTCTCAAGCTTTTCATGGCAAAACTTGCTATTTATTTTCCAACAGTATAGTCCACATACAGAATCAATCTA